ATTCGTGTATGGGACCCCCCGGCCAAAATGCAAAGTCTTTTTGCGGCAATTTCAAAACTTAAGATTTCATGGAATTTATAGAATAAAACATTTCATGTGCACGTTTTCGATTGTTTAAACAACTGCAGTTTGAAGGACTGTTGGTAAGGAATTTGTTGCGTTTTCGGCGTCATTCCCACGAACAGTTTTTGTCTTCTTCAATTTTGCAGCAGCAGCTTGCTCTTGAAGTTGTTCATGGTAATTGGCTGTGATAAACATGCCACTTCCCGTAATTGTTTTCCGTTCGGAACGCTTTCTTTTCAATGGAGGCAAAAGTAGAACGGACTTTCGGACGGCTTCTTCACGACTAGCCAGGACAAGTGAACTACTTCTGAAAATTCAGCTTGGGGTTTGAACATTGACAGTCGGTGCATCATGGCCTTCAAATTTGGGGGGCATGGCCCAGTGAACACAAAGCCAGAGATGATAGTCGCAGGCTTTGTCGAGCAGCCCAAACTTCGCAAGTAGTTGGCACTGCATTTTGCTTGGACGTCGTGACGGCAGCTCCAGGGATGGTCAGTTGGTCGCACACTTCTGTCGATACTCGGTCTCCAGGGAAAACAAACAGCGGCGGGATTTTGGATCCATCTGCTCCAAGGCAAGCAACAATGGTAACATGAGATGACATAGTTGGCTCTGTGACGAAAACCATTTTTGTTGTCTTCCTGGAAACCACACAGATGACGTCTTGCCAGGAGAGAAACTGGTTTCGTCCATGTTGAACACACGAGATGGATCCATGTCAACACATGACAAAGCATGGACCAGCTGGTGGAAAAAGTTGACAACACAATCTTGAGTGATGGAGTTGCGGGCAGAACTTAGGACATGTGCCTTTCTTTTTGACACCTCCGGATGGCGCTGCATAAATCGATGATACCAACCATGAGTCAGTGGAGGTTCGCACTGACTTCCGTTGATCACATTGCGAATCTCGTTGGCCTTGGCCATTATTGATCCTCTTCCAACCGAATGACCATTACATTCTACTGCAATGACCCATGCAACCAGATCCTGTTCGAACGACTTTGGGATGCACGGGCTTCTGCCAATGCGAGGTGGTTCAAATAGGATGTTGCATTGTTGAGCTTGAGTCACATGGGTTCGCAAGGTTCGGTATGGTATACCGTAGCTTATGGCAATGTTCACCATGGTGTCGGTTTTGTTGATTACATCGCTTACTGCGCTAGTCATGGCATCAGCCGAGTAGGCTGCTTTCGGCGCCATGAACGAGCTCAAACTTTGAAAAACCTCGGATAATTTATCTACTTTCCCACTATTTAGATATGGAGGCTCACTTTCATGGAGGTTGTACTTTTGTCCAGTAAGATCGCTTTCCAATAATAATTGGCCGTCAAAACGTGACCGATCAATGGTGAAGTGAACGATCAAAGGTTCGCTACGTTAGAAGCAATTTATTGCTGCAGGCTTTGGAACACGTCACTTGTTGGCACGATGTCATCATTTATCCATACCAGATGAACTGGCTCTTCCAAATGAACTCGGAAGGAGGTAGTACACTTCACATTACGGATGTATGATACGGAAAGTCTCACTAGTATACTACTGTGGTGCAAAAGAGTTTCAGGGTGCAACTTACGGAAGGTGGATATGTTCGAAATGTCGCACAAACTCAGAGGCACTAGAAAGCGCAAGATTTCTGCATTGATTGGGTAGTTTGTGAGCGTTCTAAAGCGTTTTCGTTCACGAGATGTTGGGTGCAAAAGTTGCCATGTCATGTCGTCCGAACTTTGGCCCGTCGTGCTATCCGGTCGTACGAGACATGAAGGATTGTGCCAGGCTCAGAGCCTGCTCAAGCTGTGTGAAGCACTTTTTGACCCTATGCAACACCGAAGATCGTCTGAGGTATACTATTTCTTTCCTACATCCCTCATCGAATGGAAGTCATTTTTTGACAATTTGCAGGATTATGTGCATATCGACGAAAAATAGTTCTATTCGAAAAAGGTATGTACGAGGATGAGGCCATAGCTGTTCGTTTAGCGAAGTCGAATCGATTTATAATGTTAGTTTTTTTGCGGCGATTGCCCGCTCCCGTGTAGACTTCAACGGCAACCTTTTCGACGGCAAACTTGGAGTTTTGTCACTTGTCGAAAAAGTGCTAGCACAAGTTGTGCTAGCACTTTTTCGGTTCTTGGAGTTGCGTTGTGCAGCACAACGCAACTCCAAGAACCGTACCAAAGTGACGACTCCGCAGTTTTTCGACTCTGATGTATATTTAGAAATGGTGTTAAATAATGTTGTACCAGTCATCACGTCGAAATTCCCGCGGTGTACATTGCGATTGGGTGTCGTATTCCAATAAGGCAATGCCAGTCCTCATAAATTCCTCACGACAAGTTTGATGCAGTCGCGCGGCGTATCCGGAATTGCAGTAAACAACCGGCCGCCCAAAAGCCCAGACTTCAATGTCGTAGACTTTGGCTTCTTTAACTCTATTCAAAGCCTGCAGTATCAGAAGTGCATTCGAACAATCGAGAACCTCATTGATGCTGTAGAAGTCTCGTTTTTGAATTGTTAGTGGACTCGGAGTCAAAAACCGTACTCTTCAAAAGGTGATGGAGAAATGAATAAAAATACACGGTGGCAATGATTATAAGTCCCTCACATGAAGAAGGATGCGATGATAACCGACTTCACGACCTTCAACGTGGAGTGCGATGCCTGTAACTATGAGAGTGCCTATATCCATTTGAACTTTCAATTGGAGAAGAGGCATCCGGCAGCACTTCTGAATTCCCTAAGACACAAGTTTGTTTGGAAGTTGAATTAAAATTCATAATATGTTTGGCTACATTATTTCGTTTCTAAAGTGACAATCAATTACAAAGTGGTGTCTGGATCGAGTTACATAATTTAATGAAGCCAAAATGAAGGCAGCAACTATTTCGGACCAGAGTAGTACATCATTGTATTCCACGTTTTAGCCAACAATCAGCAATGAAACTTTGAGAAGTCACCTACATTAGTGAAGTCAAGTTTTTAGCCAATCAAAAAGGCTAGGGCTAGGGTAGGAATTTAGGATGGTAACCTCTGCGCATGCGGTCGGAGTTTAATATCAATTGTCGGATATTGGCATACAAATACAAATGCAACTGCATAAGGCAGACTTGTACTATACACATATATGGCATCCGACAAATTTTCGAGTTGTTATTGGTGATACGGCATAGCTAGACGACTTGCATCGGAATGTCACGGCGTGAAGCGAGAAGTTGCGCAGGCAAGCCAAGGACCGGCATGGGCGAAAGAAGAATGCGCTCATGGTGAAGTTTGTAATTGGCGATTTCGCATTTGTTGGTCTGGTTCTGAAGTACCCGAACATTTTGAACATGAATTGGAAAGGGCCTTACCGCGTGTCAAGAGTGAACTCTGACTACGTCATGGAAGTTCAGCAACTGGTGGAGCCGTACGAGACAGCGCTGCACCACGACAGCCGGCTCACGTTCTTTCGCGACGCGGACCTCGATGTGACAAGTGATCTGATAGATTACGCCGCGTTCAGTGCAGAAGGTTTCTACGTTTAGGCCCTCTTGGCGGCGCGTAGCAACGAAGGAAGATATGAAGCTCTGGACATGTGGAAGGGGCTAAAAGAAGAAGCGTCTTGGGAACCTGAATCCCAATTGTACGAAGACATTGCGGCAGTGATGCGGTGAAGAATGCCGACGAAGAAGACATAAAGGCGCTGCTGGAGGCCTTAGAAGAAACGCTAGGACACTCCATCTAGGAGGGGGAAGTGTTCTGGGGGCCCAGAACCGACTCAACCTCGCGAAAGATCGGTTGGCCGGGTCCAAAACGAAGATGTCAAATATCGGTGGAACGAAAATCCTAACAATTTCTGATTGGTAAAAGAGGCGACGGTTTGGAGACAACGGATTGGCTTAGGTCCAAACTAGGGCTAGTAGTAGATGCCCAGTAAGTGTGGTTAGCGGAGTGGCTCCCCTCGAAGCGGGGGTCACCGGCTAACTGACTGTAATTCAGTTTGCATTGTGAATCGGACCAAGCGAGTGGTTCCTATAGCTTCGTCGAGACGTCAAAGGTGCGGGGTGCGGAACAGGTATGTGTGTACGCCCTTTATTGTGACGATATCGAGCGACGTTGAATGACTTTTCAGTCTGTGCAAGCGGCTGTTCTCTCCGCATCGGCGGTCTTTGAGTCCTAGAACTCTTGAAATACTGTTGTATTTGAGATCAAATCGACATCTCAAGCACTTGTGGCATCAGTCGCCCATGGCAGTCAAGACGAAAACGATGACGATATTGACGAAGACGATGAAGACAGCGGACCTGACTTAGGTTAGCATAGATTTCCAAACCAATGCAAAAAGATTTCACAATATATTTTTCAATATTTCAATACAAGTCCATATATTGGAATATCAACCCACTGGTCATAAAATTATCAGAGGTTTCTGACTGCGGTCATGACCAAAAAGATTGATATTCAATGGAATGTAAGACGTTTTCGCTTTGATATTCAAGATAACATTACGTTGCTTTTTGGTCATAGCCAATGAACAAGTTAATAATATGAGGCTTTCAACCAATCACGAAATAATGATTTCAGCCAATCGGAGCCTGTTCGGATGTGCGCTCCTCCAAATATTGCATCTTCAAATTTGTCTCGAGGACGGTACAAATGGGGAAAGCACTGGCCACGAAGGACGACATGGGACTACCATTGCCCAAAACGTGACGCCAAGTACAAAGAAAACAAAAAGACGCTTTGCGCATGCACTGCACCCTGCAGCACCCCGGCGAGTCTGTCGTCTTCAAGGCAACACGGTCGACTGCTGAATAGCAAGCGATGCCCCGCGAACGAAAACTGTAGTGGAAGGCCAAGCAAACGCCAAAGTCTCCTGTGCAACCTCCACGCGAATTGTTCACGTTGCGCGATGCAAAGAAGTGAGGTCCAGAAGCCCAACGTCTGCACGATTTGCTCTCTAATGGCTCTCAATGTTCCTGTCAAGTCTGCTCCTTCCGACATGCAAATGGCGATTGCTTCTTTAGGTAGTCGCACAATCCTCGAAGTGTTTGCGCTTCACCAAAACGTCATTCAGCGTCGATATGGCTTCGTGCTCTGAAAGGCCCTCCTCTTGTAGCATTTCGATGGCAAGATATAAAGGCCGTCGCCAAAGGAAGCCTGTGTCTCGGAGTTGTTTTTCCTCCAACCTCGATCGACCTTTTTCAACTTCGTGATGGCTGGTCGCGGGTTCAGGCCATGTTATTCTTGCCATGCCTGCTTCACTGTACAAACATGTCGTAAAATTTGTATGTGGAGCTTGAGAGTGAGTTGGGTCACTTGTTGTGGCAGTGTCGTTGCGAAATCCATCCACTCGTTAAAGCAACGCGATTGGCGATGCACGCTGGGTGGTGCTCAAGGTCGGCCACAGTGATACTGCCACTTGAATCAGCGTGTTCGCAAAGTTATGCCGAGCTAAAGCAAGAGCGCCTGATGAGGACTCTGCAGCCGTGGTAAGTGCTCGGGTGACGTCATCGAGGCGGCTATTCACAGCAGCGATCTCTCGGTGAATATTCACGGTTTCCATGCGTATATCTTGGATCTCTTCGCTCACGAGTGGCAGTGCTTGATGCAGAGGCAGTGTCTCCAATGTGGGATGGTGTTGATGGTTGACAAAAGCCATGCCTTGATGTCGTGAAACATGGGATCTTGGAAGACAGAATGTGTGAAAAGAGGGTGGTTCTGGTACGTTTCCATGGACAGCAACAGAGCGGCGTCTTGAAGCACAATCGCTCGCATACAAGTCAGCAAGTAGACGAAGCCCTTCGCAGCAATTTCTATTTTCTGGTGTCCAGTTTGAATCATGCTCTGGGACTCCTCGAGTTTTGGAAATACTTGGCGGAGAAGGTCTTCATGTGGCTTCAATAAACCTCGGGGCAAGTAGTACCCCTTGCTTTCAGGTCCAAATCCCGCCAGAACTTTGACACAATCCCAAGGAACAACATGGTTCGCATTGGCACCATTGCGACTTCGAGTTGCCCAATGACATAGCTTGTCCACCGATTCACCCGTATGCGGCGTATCTTCCTTCCAGCTAGTGTTTTGACGGTTGTTTTCCCAGTAGTTCGTGTTGTCTCTTGATGGCTTTGTACTGCTCTGAATATTGCATTGGGGCACGTGGCTTTGCGCCCTTCAAAACGTAGATGTCGTTCCATAGCTTCCTCTCGGACAGGTCAGGCCAAGGCTCGTCACTCAAGTACCACCGGTGGAAAAAGTATGTACAATGCAAGCGCACCAAACGGACAGCGTGTGGAATCCATTGTGCCGCATGAAGGTTGTTTACTTAACATTGCCGTATTGATTCCGCTAGGATTTTCGCCACACACGTCAAAACAGTTGAGCACCATGAACACCTTCGTCTTCGAATCTCACCACGCCGATTTCTGAAAGCGTCTATTTAAGTAGACTTTCACCGCGAGTGCACATTGCAATCGACATCAAGTTGTCGTCTCGGTGCTTTAAGCCCTGTTCGTATGACGCGTGAAAAGTTGTTGCTAATCCTTCGAAATGCTGCTACATCCACGCAATCGAACATGGCCCCCATTCCTCGGTCAGCAAACTCGGCAATTTTTTTTGCACCACTGCCATTATTTTTTGCTTCAGCAGCTCGTTGACGGCATTTGGGCGTATTAGAACTTCCAAATGTCCATCAGAGCATTTGCATAAGCAGCGACCGTGTGATAGCAAATGATTCGAGTTTCCCCGACACGATCTTCTTTACTTTCGTCTTCACCATTGCTTGTTTTGATCACTCCACCAGCGTCAGTTTCTAATTTGCCGTGGTCGTCAATTTAAACTACTCATACAACGA